GTAATTGCTTTAGCAGTGAGGTACAGTCGTGCGGCACACACTGCTCAGCACGTGACAGACCACACGTATGACGGCTGTCTCTGGAGTTAGTGTTGCTTCCTGACATCATTCCTGGCTGCCTTCGTTTGTGTTAAGCACGCTCTACAGCAGTCACAAAACCACCGAGAAGTGCGTTTCTCAGGTGATATCCCTGTACTACTGCCTCAAACTTCTGCAAAATCAAAACAAATAAAAATTATGTTTTAAAAAATATTGGACTGGGGAGATAGCTCGCCGGTCTAAGTCTCTGCCTGGCAAGCACAAGGACCCGGGTCCAATAACAGGTAGCATATGCCCTACTGGCTCCACGCCGAGTGGGCCACCAAAACTGGGCATGGTGGCACATTCCTCTAATTCTAGTGCTGGGGAGGCTGAGACAGTAGGATCACTACCAGTCCGAGCTGTGTAGCGAGACCCTGTACCAAATAAATAAATAAATAAATATTTTTTCTAAAAATTTGAATAATACTGTGTATTACTCTACTGATTCAACTGATATCACTCTTAAAGGACAATATTATATTATGTCACAATCAAAATCAATGAAATTTGAGTCTTAAAGAAATATATTTTGGGCCAGCAAGATAGTTCATCAGACTAAGAGCCTGCTTTGGCAAGCTCCAGGGGCCAGGGTTCCGTCCCTAATTCAGCATGCCATGCCAGCCACATCCCCAGGGGATGCGGAAGTGGTGATGGAGTCCGGGCGTGGCGGTGCACACCTGTAACCCCAGCCCTGGTGGGGCTGAAAGCAGGAAACTCAGTAGGAGTACGAGGTGCATAGTGAGAGCTTGTATCAAGTACATCAATAAAAAGAAAATTTCCACTTGATGTGATTAAAAATTAAATATTGTGCTGATACTAGTAATCTTTTTCAGTTTAACAAAGCAAAACTATTCCCTTAAAAATATCAGTAGTTTACAGAACAATAGTAACGCAGAAAACCGGTTAAATTGGTTCTTAGAAAATTTCAGCCTCTCAAAATGAAGTTAAATGTTTATTTTGAACTGTAATTTTAAGTCTGATTCTAAATTTGGCACACGTCTTTTACCAGCTATTTTGAGACAAAAAGCAACAACTAGATGAACTGTTTTGAGAAAGTAAACCTTCATGATAAATAAATAATTGATAAAGAGAAAGGAATAAATACTGTTTTGAGCTGGTCCACACTGCCACAAATTTTTATGAACAAAACTTTAAAGAAGGACACATAAGGGGCAATGTTTCTACATTTAATCTCTTAAATGGATGGTAGGACAGGAATGGATACAAATTGGTCATTATTTAAATACAGAATACTTTGGGCTATTTAAATTGGAGATGCTTTCTCAAATTCTGTAAAGGACCACCATTCTATAACCAAGTTCTCTTTACAATAAGTTTCTATACTCTATTCCATGATAATCTGAAAAATCATATGCTTTTTTGAGTAAATCAAATGTATACAAGCAGTGATTTTCACAAATGATATTTTCACATTTATTAAAAATTATACAGTTTTATTGTTTTAAATTTTGACACTGCCAGTCAAGCGGAAGACCCAATACTATTATGGGCTACTGGACTCTTTTAGAAGATTTTGCTGAGTTAACACACTTATAATATTCAAATGATGAAACTAAACAGCAAATGGAATACAGATGAATGTCCATTTTGCATCTGTGTATTCAAAATGGTTAGGATAGATATATAGTTACATTCTCTTAACGAATAGAGGGATTTGTTTTAATAGTGTTTGTAAATAGGATACCATGTCTGCATCTTGTACAGCAATTAACCACGAGGAAGAATGTATGCAGTGTGATAATTATTGAAACTGTCCTACCAATTTGGCTTGAAACTGTCTTATTGCTATTTGTTTCTCAATAAAATTATGAAAAAAAATTCATTGTTTTCTTCTAAACCAAAAAAATGGCAAAGTGCTTCCTTATAGGAAGATTAGAGTGTTTATATAATTTTATATTTGTTTTTATTGAGTTAAGGAAGCAATATGAACTTAAAATAAGTCAAGCAAGCTAAATACCACATGTTAATCCTGTAACATTCTTCCCAAAAATTTTTCACTCTGGTTTATGTCTTATCGACCTTTACTTAGGTATCCAGCCTTGGGCAAGGCAATTTCATTTTTTTCCTCTTTTTCACCTGATATACACAATAGCCTTTGGTATTTGTTGAATAGAGTGCAAATCTTTCATCAGAATGATAAAGTAAACAATGTCAAAAGGTTTTTTCTTTACCATTTTATGTGGTACCCAATTATTTGCATTTAATTGTTTCATAATTTAGTCATGTGAAAGGATCCAAAATACCATAATATACTATCTTAAATTATTTCAAGATTTTAAATCAATTGCTTTATTGTTAGAGAACACTTTCACATTAATTTCAAAATTGCATGATTTTCAGATTTTAGGTACACTAAGTAGGTTAGGCAATTACTGAAATTATAGTTTCATCTACTACTTATGTGAAAACTGTGGAAATACTTGATTTATTATAGGGAAAGAAATTTACTACTTAGTCAAAATGAAATAATATTCCAGAGCTACACGATCTGATACAAAACCCCCACAATGACATGTGGTTATTTAAATTTAAATTCACAATCACTGAAATTCTAAAGCATTAATACTAAAATAGCTCTTTAATCACACTAACCAAATTTTAAGCACTTAATAGCTACCACCACGTGGATAGTGACTTTCATATAGATAGGCTTATCATAGAATACTTCAATCCTCAGAAAATCAGTTGGAAAATGTGTCCTAGCCTTTTCTCAATCTTCTAATTCTTAACTTCTCTCCAGTGCTTCTCTTCAAACTCCATCCTCTGGTATCCTCTGGTTTTCACACAGACCTTAGCCTGCCTATATCAGTTGTTCATAGAATAATTTTATTGTAAGTATATAATAAATGCAATAGTAATTTTATTGCAATTTCTGGAAACATCATAGTTGTCATGACCAAGTGAAACAAAGGAAACAAAAAAACATGAGAAATATTAACTAACTTGGTGTTTACATTCTAGAACAACAGTTAATAAATTTTGACAAAAATAATAGAAGAGAAATTTAAAAAACAACAAAAGTGAAAGAGTTCCATACAGTACTAAGTCCTCAAAAGGATGTCAACAGGAAAAAGCAGAATGAATCCTGAGCTCAGGAATATCAGAGATTCGAGAAGTAAATTTGGGATTCCTATGACTATAGATGGTTTTTGACCACCGTTAGTTGAGGTTATCTGCTAGATAGCACCCCCTTCCCCTGACAGGATCCTGTTCTATAAGTCTCACTAGGAATGAAAATGTGTTCGCACAGTTGACTGTGAAATTAAGAAAGGAAAGCCCACAGGAAACACAGGTACGTTTTCTTTCAATGTTAGTGCTGAAGGAGGTGACAACTAGCGACTGCCCAGTAGAGTAGCAACATGCAACCTGCTGGTGCTCTTCCCAAGAAGGAAGAAAAGGTTGAAAACAGGCTACCAGGAGCAAGCCAAAGAGAGCAGAGACAAGGAAGGAAAAATGGCAGGACAACTCACTCAGTGAGCTTCACCGTAAAGTAAGTTGTAGGGGGGGTACGAATAGTGGGAAGATGAATGAAGAGGAGCTTAGGATCTACCATGGTTTGAGCGACTCAGTTTCCAAATTTACATTGAAATTTAATTTAAGATACAACCATATTAACAGGTGTGGCCTTTAGCAAATGATTAAGTCATGAGGGCTCTACCATCAAGACTGGAACTAGGTCCTCTAAAAGGCTTGACAGAGGCAGTTTGACCCTCTTCTCCTTCCATCCCTTCTAACCTAGAGGAAAGGCAGAGAATTTCTCCTCTCTGGAGGACAGGGCTACAAGGTGCCACTCTGGAAAAGACTGCAGGGCTCTTACTAAATATAATCTAGTAGCACCTGCATCTTGGCTTGACAGCCTCTAGAACAACAAGACATGAATTCTAGTGCTTTTTAAATTACTTACTCCCAGAAAAGTGGAAAAAATCTTTCCTGCAGAAGGAGGGAGAATTGTAAGCAAAAATTCCATGAGGAACAGCAGGAAAAAGTATCCAGGGTGTAGAGGAAGGATTGGGATGAAGTTGGAAAATAAAGAACTAGATATGTCCTCAACAGCAAAGGATACACTAACCCATCATGACAAAATGCATTCCCTTGAGAGTTATATTTGAAATTACAACCATTTTGATCCACAATTATGCAAATATGACACATTTACTTGTATACATAATTGGAAACTTATAAAAGTCAAAAATCTTCAAATATAGCTTTCCAATGAAAATGTGAGGCCTAAAGTGTTAACCACCATGCCTACAGTGTCTATATTGTTCAGCTTCTTTCTTATCAAAAACATTGCATAATTCAGGTATCTTTAGTGCCTTCAGGCGTAAATGGTCACTATCCTTCCATCCTTTCACTTGAACTGAACAAACTAGGTGAAAAAATAGCAGCAAAGTATCTTCTTATTCAGCAAAAATCACTCTGGTAAAATTTTCATTTAAAATGTAATCTTTTAGGTAAGACAAAAATACTCAAATAAAATTTTAACCATCTTGAAATCACCATCCAATCTTTCAATCATCTTTAAATTCTTCAGTTAAAAAAAATCATTTTCAACCCCCAAACCCAAACCTAGAAAACATTAAAACAGAAGGCTAAATGGCATTGGTATAACAGATTTTAAATGCAGGGAGCAATACATGGGTATTCTTGGATTTTTATAACTGCTATCTTTTTATAAATCAGTCTAACACATTTTAGTTTGGAGCAAAGTGCTTATATCTAAATATAACAAAGTGGGTGACACATACAAAATACATCCCCATATAAAGCAAGTTTTAGAAAATGGACACAGGAGCTAAGAAAGTTGGTTATTGTTTCAATAGATTCTGACTCATTGATGTTTTTTATCATTTAGTTTATTTGTTTGATTGATTGAGTGACTGACTGGAAAGGCTTACCGTCCTGCTGGCTGTGAAGAGTCTGGGGACTTTGCATTCTTTCTTCAAGATTGGAGCTAAGATCAGAGTTCACAGCTGACATTCGTGTTGAATCACTCATATCAAATTCATCGCTTTCTATTGAACTTTCATCCTGAAAATGGTTTTGAAATATCATCAAGCATCATGAGGTATAATCCATTCAAATAATGACCACTTTATCTATGCGATAAACTAGAGATTATCCAGTAACTAAGTTTTTAAAGAACTCAGTAAGTGCTATTTCATGTTAGTAAATGCTTAAAATAACAAATGAGGGAATAATTTCTCCCCTCAGGGAATTTTAAAATTTCTAAATATTCAAACAATGTATCTATGCACATGCATATGTTGAAGATAAGATAGTGCATTTGGTAAGGATACAGTTTGGGAGTTAACCTAAATAATGAAAGAATGGATGTTTTCATTAAATGCCTGCAAAAGTTACAATCATAAAATATGAAAAAGGAAATCTTTTGTAAAGTTAACTGGGTTTATCAAATAATATAAGTACAAATCTTAGAACTCAGTAAAAAGAACTTCATGAAAATTTTTCATTGGCAAACGTAACGGATTTTAATAACAGACAAAGATACATGTCTAGATTCAGAGACAGCATTCCATGTACAGCAAGGTAATATTATTTATGAATCTTATCTTTCCATAAAAATGAGTATAGGTTGTCCTGCAGCTACAAAAGGGAACTCTAGGTAAAACTGCAGAATCTACTTCTAAATTTCACTTCACAAAATGACTGTAGAGCCATCGGGCTGGTGTGCTAAGTCGCCAGTTCATCCATTCCTGCCAGTAATAACTACAGTGAAATCTATAAGAGTGTGCTGCCACACTTGTAAAAAGAGCAGCACCTCAGGAAAATTTAATTGTGAGCAAGTGATGTGCTTCTCTGGGTGAGAAGCGATGAAGGAACCTATACAAAATGTCTCATCAGAGTCACCATATCGGACATCATCTGGTAAACCTTGAAAGTTTAGCCCTGATAATTGGCAGTGGCTGAAAGAGTACCGACATTTACATAGCAGACACTTTTTTAATATTTATTCATCACTACATCGTCACCACAATCAATGAACTAGGATTCACCTAATTTTATAGATTAAAAAATGAGGTAGGAGGAAGTTAAATATTTGCCTTTACACACACACACACACACACACACACACACACACACACACTGATATACACCAGAACTATGAAGTCACCTGAGCTTTGAATAGGAAAAGCTACCTTGGTTTCAAAAAATAATTAAGAAATGCCACCTGGCAGGCCTCTGAGCAATAGCCTTCTCCTGGTGACACTCTTTCCCTCAGTGTACTATGCACACTATGTTTCCTCCTATTCTAAAGTCTTAAAAATTATGCTATACATGAGAAAAAATTAAGAGAATCTAATGTGAACTTCAGTGTTACCAGTAATACTAGTAACTGGTGCATCATATAAAAATACAGAAATAGATACAGAGACATTGATGACACAGCAATCCAGCCTAATCTGCACAGTCTCTGTGCTATTTTAGCATTTTAGAGAACTTTTTCAGGAGCCAGACCTGGATGCAGATCCACAGTCTATGACTTCTAGATGTCTAACCTTAAGGAAGCTACTTAATGTTTCAGTACCTTGTATTTTTTTTCTATAAAATAAGGATAATATTTTCCCCTTCATTCTTTCCTATACTTTCTCCTTTCCCTCCTCTTCATTGTTTAACCCTAATGTTCAGTTTCTTTCCATTTTACTATACCTAATGTACCTTTCAGTTTTCATTTCTTCTTTCGGGTTCTTGCACTAGGGAGGCAACGCGATACTTGCACATGTGGGTCTGATTTATTGCACTTATTAGTAAAGCCTCTAGTTGCATCCACTTACCTATAATGATCTCAGGCTTGTCTTTATAACTGAGTAATATGCCACTGTATAGAAATACCACATCTTTTCCACCCATTCCTTAGATGATGGGCATATTGGTTGTTCCAGTATTTGGCTATGACAAATTATGCTGCTATAAATATGGGTGCCCATATATCACTATGGTATGTATTGTATTCTTTTTGGAAACTACTCAGAAGGGGTACAGCTGAGTTGAATGGGATTTCCAGTCCTACATTTTTGATAAATCTCCACACTGATTTCCATAGAGTTTGCACCAGTCTACATTCCCACGAACAGTGGGGAAGGGTTCCTTTTCCCTCACAGCCTCTCCAGCATTTGTTATCAGTTGACTTCTTTATCAGCCATTCTTTCTGGAGTGAGACGGCATCTCAGTGTTATTTTAATTTGCATTTCTCAAGTGACCAGTGCTATGGAACATTTTTTTTCATATATTTATTTGCCATTTGTATTTGTTTCCTCTGAGAAGTATGTATTCATCTTAGGTCCCCATTTTTGGATGGAATCTTTTTATTTTGGGGCCTTGATTATATACAGGATGGCTAAGAAGATCATGCTAATAATTTCTTCCAGTTGTTTTGAAAATAGCAGTTAATGTTTAGAATTTTCACTTTGACTATCTCTTTATGCCAGTATATTCAATCTAAGAAAGTACATTGAGGACAGCAATGTACAATATAAAAACCATGGTTGAATACCTCTTCTTGGTCTTCTAAATGTGTGCAATTGCTAATATCTTATTGATTAGTATTATAATATCTTAAAAATAAGTTTACCAAAAAGTAAAAAAGACAAGAAAAATAATTAAGATTAATTGAAAGAGTTATTATTCAACTTTTTGTTCAATCTTCCATAACTATATGTGTTAATCTGAGCAACAGATTCGACGATAAAAATAGGTAATATAACCATTGTTAATTTGATATTCTTGATTTGAAAATTTGTAATATATGTTTTGTTGTATGCTACCCTGTTTCTGTCTTTGCTTCTGCTATTTTATTTCTTTTGTTATACTTTTCAAAATAAAATTATTGTTACACTTTCTTTAAAATAAATTTTTAAAAATGTAAAAAAACAAGAAAAAAATTAAGGAAAGCAAGCATTAATATTCATTTATTTGTCTTATCTTGTATAACTATATATGTTAATATGAGCAACAGATTTCATGATATAGATAGCATAATAACTAAGTAATTAGCTATTCTTGTTTTGAAAATCTGTAACATATATATTGCTATATGTTACCCTGTTTCTGTCTTTGTTTCTGCTATTCATTTTTTCTTTTGTTTTTACACTTCAAAAATAATATAAAATAAAATTTTAAAACAGGATAATCATAGTATCCACTTCATAGGGCTATACAAGGATTGAGAGGGCACAATATGTTTAGAGTACCGAGAACAGTTCCAGGTACATAATAAGCACAGCAGAGCTGCTTTATATGTCTATGTAGAATATATAATATATTTTAAAATAGCATAAAATGAACATTTATTGCATTAAATGTATATATGCAATATATTTATTTCATTATATTACATATACATACACAATATGGGACCGATAAGTGTTTCTAGAATAGCTGTGAGCTCTACAGAAATATATTCATAGTAAATATTTCTCATGTAGTCTGCAAACAATTTTTTTTTCTCTCTCTGTATTTTAGGGAAGGGTCTAAAGGGTGTTCAGGGTGTCACTACTAGATTCGACTCTAGTGATTCTCCTGTTTACAGCCTCTCAAGTTCTGGGAATACAGGCATGGGCCACCACACCCAGTCTCACTTGCTGTCTCAGGGTGCCCTGGGGGCAGGGCCGGCACAGCAGGCCTGGGGATAGAACCCCCAGCCCCTGTGCCTGCTTGCAGGTACTTTAATCTGCTGAGCTATTTGGCCAGCCCTCTCTCCAGTTAATCATATGCAGTCTAGTAAAATTGTTTCTGTAGTATTCTTATATGTTTAAAATAGGTACATATATGTGTGTTTGTGTACATGTATGAAACAGAGATTCAGGTCATAGCGTCTGTTCTGTGAAATGGTTGCACAGAACATTATGGATAAACAATATACATCTTATCACCATTAAATGGCATATTTATCAGCGCAGTATTTAGGAAATTTGAACAAAAAAATAAAATTCTCTATAACCAAATGTAATGTTATATGTTTTATTTCTTTTAAAAAGATCACCAAATTAAAAATTTTTCTTATCACAGGTGTCTCAGTGATTGAGATAATCTTAAACATTGTTCTCCATTATCAGCTATGAAATAAAATTTACTTTTCAGAATTTTCCTTACTCAAATAACAAATGTCAGCCATTAATAAAGAACTTATTACAAATAAACATAAGCATTCTTTCTGTAAGTTTTATTCCAATTATATATTAACTGATTAAATTATCTTCTGATAAAAGGTATCAACCTTTCTGAAATATAAGATCATATTTTTTTCATCAACATAGAGATAATGCTAATAATATTAGGAAGAAACTACAGAAGGTTTCTATGGGTAAGTAACCAGAAAACTTGATTAATATAAGTAATTATCTTATTCATAATAATCTTTACAGTGTTCATTTAAAATCCTTCTTTTATAATATTTTTGTGTAGTTTAGTAACCACAAAAATTGTCTCTGTGTGTACAATGTGAGCTTGTACCTTACAAAGTTAAAAGGTTACAATAACAGATGCCATGTCTAGTTCCATAATAGTTTTGCTCCTAAAATCTTAATCTAAGAAAAATCTGAAGAAGCATTTTACTGTAATAATTTTGTTTCCAGGCTTTTCTATTTAAAAAATACATTTGCTTATCTAAACTGTACTCTTAAATTGTTCAGTGTAGCATCCAAATTTCAGCTTTGGTCTCTAAAGAGTATGACATCTCTTCTGCTTTCCATGGATATTGTTGATTGGTTCAAAATCTTATTTCTCCTTTCCTGAATTGCATGGAAAAGTGTTTTAGTTGCATTGCCCACTGGGAATTTCTCTCACACTAGGTCTTAGCAGTTGCCAGCAAATTAATCTTTCCCTTTCTGAACATGGCACTTCCCTGTTCATAAATTTGTAGCCACTGTCTGCTAAATAATGTGTAAGTGACTCATCAATCACTTATAATTGATATAAATGCTCTGTGATCATCTCTGTTCCATGAGGTAGATCCTGCCCACTCTTGTAACATGGCCAGGGTTACTTAAGAACTAGAATTCTTTGAGTTA